AGAGAGAGAGAGAGAGAGAGAGAGAGAGAGAGAGAGAGAGAGAGAGAGAGAGAGAAAAGAAAACAGTCCTGGGTTTTTACAAGCAATTTAAAAACAGTACTTGGTTCAAGGGCATAATTCTCTAAGTATAACAATACAAAGTTTCAGTTGCTCCAAGACAGAAACCCATTTTTTTTCTCCACAAATTAAGAGTTTAAAAAGAGCAATGGCTACAAAGTAACCACAGACCCTTTGGACACTGCAGAGCAGGGGGGAAGAAGAGGCAACATTTCTAACAACAGCAGTTTTCACAGAGTTAAGTCTTACTTAAGATACAACTTAGCAAGACCAGATAGCACTTCCCCTGTGATCGTTCCCACTAACCTCAGGACCAAGAAAACAGGTAGCAGGACAAAATGGCATTCTTGGCAAAAAAATATTTGTCCTCCAGTCATTTCCTCCCATCTTTTTTATATTTATGCTATGTTGTATAATAAAGTAAAAAAATAAAATAAAATCTTCATTCAGCTGGGCACAATGACACATTCTTTTGAAACCAGCACTCAGGAGGCAGAGGCAGGTGGATCTCTGTGAGTTTGAGGACAACCTGGGCTACACAATTCTAGGACAACCAGAGCTACACTGTGAGACCCTGGCTCAAAAACAAAACAGAAAATTAACTTTAGTTACCTGTTGGTCCCGATTCAGAGCTAGACAAGCACAAGACACCGAAAACTGCACAATGAACACAAGCAGGAGAATAATCATATACTGAGAGTTACAAGTTAAGGACGATTTCACTTTATTTTATTATTGCACTTGCTTATTCATTATATGTGTGAGTGTGGCAGGCATGGGGGGTGCACACAGGAGTAGATCTGCACGCGCCACGCTGTTCATGCAGAGGACAACCTGCAGGAGTCAGTTCTCTCCGGTTATCAGATTTGGCAGCAAGTGCCTTTATGTGTGCTGTAGGGACTCTGCAAATGCCCTAAAAGAGCACAAAGCAGGAATGTTGACATAACTTTCCAGTACACGCTAAGCAACTCACCTAGAAACTAGGACAATGTTACCTAAAGTTCAGTGATACAGTGTAACTATAAATTCATTTAGAAAAATATAAATAATTTTATACACCAGGCATGGTGGTTAACGCGTGCAATCCCATGAGGACTGACCAAGCTTGAGATCAGCCTAGTCTACAGAGACCCTGTCTCAAAAAGAAAGAGAGGGAGAATTATATTTTGAAAAGCTCACATCCAAAATGAAATACAAATTCTGCAACGTGAAAAAAAAAAAAACAGGTATAGACACACATATAAGCTTTCTCAAAAGTAAATCTAGAGAATACACTGTTAAATTCTCAACCAAAGATTAATGTGTTAGGAAGGCCACGAAGTAAAGAAATGAGTTCAATTTAAGTCCGAATTTGCAAAAGAAAATCAGAATTATGCCCAACTTATAGAGCACTTTATGGTGTGATAAAGGAAGGGTTAGGGATAACTAAATATAAGGCTTTTTCCTTATAGATATTCCTAAATTGTCTTCCTAAGGGTTACTTCCTGGCAATGAATTCCCTAATGATAATATTAAATTAGTAGCAACCACTGGAACATAATCAATAATGAGTGAAAACTTCACCTGGTTGAGGTAAAAATCCCAATTTTTAAAAAGGATACAAAAAACAGCAACACCTGATGATGTTTTACGGCGCCAATCAGTCCCACCAATGCAATCAGGAACAGGAAGATGCCCACAGCAATGACCACGCCCACCACTCGGAGACTGGAGATCAGCCCAAAGCCAATGCCCCAAGCAGCAATCCCAATGAGCAGCAGACTGACGAGCTGTGGAGAGATGGAGAGGTTCAATTATACAGCGCCAGCACTGGCCAGGTGTTTACATCTTAGTAACGTTCACACCAGGGCAGGAGTCTCTCAGAGTCTCCAAGGTGTTGGTTCCAGAACCTGCCACATATACCAAATTCAAGTTTCCTATAAAAGTTGTCATATTTGTATAACTTGTGACATCCTTCTTTAAACATCGAACCAACCACCTCTGGATACTCCGACTAGCTAATGTCATGTGAAGGCTATGCAAGGTTACTCAAATTGTCAGAGGTATAGTGACAAGAAAAAAAAAATCTGTGTTTATGAAGCAATTTTTGATGCAGTTGATGGAATTCATGAATGTGAAACCCATAGATACAGAAAGCTGGCTGAAACACACAAGCCTCCATGGATACTATTGTTTTAATTAGTTTAATGTAACCTTCAATTATGCTTTTTTAAAAAGATTAACAATAATCCAGAAAGCAACCATGGAGTCTCAAAGGTCATCTGGATTACAAGGCTTATTCGAGAACAACTGTAAGCTAGCACAGTTCCAGCACATGTAAACTAGGCAGTAACACGTCTCAGTCCGTGATTCGGATCTGTTCATGTGAAAATGATCTGTCTTTTCCTTCACAACCCAGCTGGTCTGCAGCCCCCTCCGTCCTCCCACTCCCCAAAAGGCTCAGCCATCCTCCCTCCGCGGCAAGCTGTGCTTCTCGAATACGAACTCCTTCCCTGCCTTCACTACAATCTGGCCCCATATCTGTCTCTGCAGGAGCAGGAAGCGATTGGCAAGTACTCCTCTGTCCTTACCTCCAGGTACCCCGGAACTGTCAGGCCCGAGCCCTGGAGAACACTCCAGATTGTTTCCAGAACCATTGTAGAAGTTAATCATCATCAACAACAAGTACGTGAGGAAACAGAGAGGGCCAAGTGGCCACCAAAGCCATCCAGATGCAAGCAGGGTAGGAGAGGTCAGCTCTTGAAAATGAAATGGCATTTGAGCAAGAAGCCATGAGGTCAGACTCCAGTCCTCTTATTTAGTTTGTCAAACACCATCACGAGAGCTAGCACACCTGTGTGCAACAGGAATTACAGAACACCAAGCTGCAATTACCTCAAAAAAACAAACGAATGGTAAACCGCACAGGGCCTATAGTTAGCTTAACCGGGTTTCAGAGAAGGGTGGAGGTTTGCAGAGAGGAGCAGAATGCCTTTAGTACATGTGTGGTCAATCACCTCCTGGAGTAATGCGGTAGTGTAATGGAAAATCAAAATGTTTTCAGTTTGGAAAAATCAAAATTCAAAACTAGATTTGTCTAGCATCATATTACTGAAAGGCCTGGTAAACTGTTTAGAAATATATAAATTACCATTTGAATTTTCCTGCTAATATCTATCATTGTTTGTGTGTTAAACAATACTAAACATGCTTTATATGCACTAGTGAAAAAAAAGATACTTTTTAAATATCTTTTTATAATATATTTTTAAATATATGCACTGGTTTAAAAAAAAGATATGTAGAGATACAAAAACAACCTGCCAAATAATGTTCATCTATTTATATTTTTATCCCAAACATTTTCTTTTTGGAATCTTGGTCAAAGAGCCAAAACATAAGGACCAGAGAAATCACCTGTCGGACCACAGAATCAGTCTCTGGTGACAGGGACCTGGAGGCCGTCACCACTGTGGCCTGTACACAGACAGCCATGAAAACGTTCCCTCGGGTGCCAAGTCTCTCCCTCAACTGCTCCTCACAGTGCTCTGTCATGGCTCCCGCAGGGTCACCTCACAATTTTAAACAATGGTGACCTGAGAAAAAGTCCTCTGTCCCTTCACAAGGGATCTGCCTTCTGACTTTGTAATATCCAAACAGAGCACATTTCCTGCCACAACCGGTAAGAGCAGACGCCTGAGGGAGGTATGAGGAAGGGCCTCACCTCTTCCTGGCTTAGCATCACCGCTGTGTCTTGGTGTGGGGCACAGACAGCAGTCCACAAACACACACAGCGGAGTAGCTAGCTGCTGTAGTTAGGGGTCTCCAGAAACAGAACCAATAGAAAATATGTGCATCTATATCTATTTATCAGAAGAAAACGAGGCTCGCACAAGAGAAGTTTTAAAGATGTCGCCTACACAACTGTGATTGACTGGGCAGAAAACTGTGGGGCCCAGGACGGTGGAAACAGAACAGAACACCCTTTTCCTTCGGAAACTTCAGTGGATGTAGATAAAGACTTCCCACCCACACTGTGGAGGGTAGTCTTGATTCTCTTCATCAACTGACTGTAAGTGCTGGTCATGGTTACAAAATACTCTTATAGTTGGCGCCATGGCCTGTGTCCAAGGTGACACAGATTCCTCATCCTGCCTGCTAACACCAACTTCTGGGTGGGAGGCTCATTCACTAACTCAGATGAACTCATGGGACAAGCCCACCAATGTGCATTTCATTCAATATAAAAAGCATCCTTCTGGACTAGGAACATGGTTCAGCTGGTAAAAACACTTGCCACACAAGCCTGACGCCCCAGTCTGCTCCAGATGCACTGGTGTCTGCTGTAATCTCCACACTCCTCACAGGAGACAGAGAACCAGCTGGAACCACCAGATCACGTGACGCGGAATACACAACACAGCCACATCGGACAGACAAGAGACAGGACCTCCGCAGGGTGGAAGGCTAGAGCCAGTCCCCAAGAGCTGTCCTCTGGTCTCCACACCCACACTGGCTTTAAAAAATCCTTCCGAAATCATGCCAAATCCTTACTTTATTAACAGGATTTTTTTTTAAAAATTAAGAATATTGAAAGCTCAATATTCTTAAGTATTAAACTAAAGACTAAGTGAAAGGCTTAAAGACGGGACATACGACAGAGCAGAAATTGCAAGTGTTTTCTGTTGACCTGGTGGTGCAGACCACAGCCCTGCGCAATCGCTCAGTCCCAATACTGTCCGCAGCGCGGGACACACAGCACACGGAAGAGCAGGGCTGTGCTGACACCGCCCCCATCTTTCAGTTTTATGTGGCTCAGGTTTGGAGTTTTGTTTTGTTCGGGAGTTTTGTGGTTGTTTAGGTTTTGCTTTGTTTTTGTTGGAAGGATTTTAGAATGGTGGCGATGAGGCCAGGTAGCTCAGGCTAGCCTCAAAATTGGGATTCTCCTGCCATGGCGAGATGACAGGCACCTGCCACCTCAGCCATCAACACTTTCTCTTCAGACCGTGGAGTCTGCGATCATGAGTTTTCATGTATCACAAAGTATTTTTCTTCCTTTTTTTTTTTCTGATTATTTAAGAATGTGAATCCAGGCCAACAGGTCACCTCAGCAAGCAAGGGTGACTGTGGCCAGGCAGGACAACCTGAGTTCAATTGCCAGGACTCACATAGTAGGGAGACAGTCCTGGAAACTGTCTTCTGAACTGTACACGTGTTGGGGTGCGCACACGCACATGCACGCGCGCACACACACATGAAATAAGCTGTTAAATCAAATAAATATCATTTTATTGTAATGAACTCTCAAATAAAAACACCATGCATCTGTACTAAGGTAGCCATTTGAACGACTTAAAAAAAAACAAAACTGTGAAACTATTCTTGGCTAGCATGCTATGCCAAAGACCATGGGATGGATTTAGTTCATAGTCTGTCATTCACTGACTTTTGCTCTAGAAGTCAGTAGAGAAACAAATGAACGTTCACAAGAGGACAAGTAACTGCTGTTAGAGGGTTTTTCAAAGTGTGTCACAGTATACATTAAAAACAAAAAACCACAAACCCTAGGTAAACACAATAAGCCAAAGAATGCAAAGAAAAGAAAGTATATTAAAGTGCACTCCCTTTATGAGATGAAGTGTCCCCCTGGTACCCCAACTGGCTCCTACGTCCATCCCAGACTCAAGCAATCCTCTGTGACTACGGGAGTACACCACAGTGCCCAGCTCCAAAGGCCAATGCCCACAGTGTGAGTATTTCAGATGGGACAAGAGGATTTTACAGATGAGATTCAACTGAGAATCTCAAGATAGGGTTATTCTGGATTATCTGACTAAGACTTAAATAATCCCAGAGTCCTTACAAGAGGCAGGAGGAGGGTTCGAGTCAGAGAAGGCCTTGGCTGAGGGAAAGCAGGGTGCAGTCTGAGAGGTTTGGGACAGCACGCTGCTGCCGGTGAAGGCAGAGGAAGAGTTTGATGCCAAGGAATGCAAGGATCGGGTTCTAGGAAACAGACTCTGAGATCTGCAGCAACTTCTGATGTCTGGTGCGGAGACTACACCTTTGTTTTAGGCCACTGCACGCAGTAACTGGTTACCAACAGGAAACAACCTCTGGTGGTTTTGAAAGTTTATCTGATCAGAACAATGGGAATAGATTGGAAAGCGTATTACAGGCACAACAGAACCCAAGATGATGCAGCGCCTTTGAGGGCAGGTATTACCGCCTGGTTTACCACAGGCAGTTCTGAACTACCGTGAATTCTTCCTATAGGGACATGACGGCCACACTTGCAATGCCAGAATTTGGGAGCCTGAGGCAGGAGGATTTCCAAGAGTTCAACACCAACCAGACTATGTAACAAGTACCAAACTAACAGCCAGACCCTGTTATAAGACCCTGCCTCTGTGGGGGTGGGGGGCGGTGTTGGGGAATGAGCTGGCAAGATGGCTCAGCCATTCAGAGCACTTGCTGCTCTTCAGAGGCCGCAGGTTCGATTCTTGGCACCCAGGGCAGATCATAACCTGTAACTGCAGGTCCAGGAGACCCAGTGCCCTCTTGTGTCTTCTACAGGGGCACCTAGCACGAATGTGTGGTGCACAGATGCGGGCAAAACACACGCAAAAGTAAACACAACTTTTAAAACGTTTTCTAGAGGGTGGGTGTGGGGAGATTGCTCAGCCCTTCAAAGCTCTTGCTGCTCAAGCCTTAGTGTAGTCCCTAGACCCCCTGGGAGTCCTGGTGAAGGGAGATGAACCCCCAAGTCCTCTGAGCACAATGGCACTTGCCC